TGTGTGTGTGTGTGTGTGTGTGTGTGTGTGTGTGTGTGTGTGTGTGTGTGTGTCACAGTGCACTGAGGTCATGGCAGGAGCGAGATTTCTGGCGGAAGATTTTGCTCCCACGGTGACGACTCATTTCCCTGTAGCGCCCTCGGTCCCGGTCCCGGCCATACGAGCGCGGTACCAGCCCGGCCAGGAAGCGCTTGGCGCGACTCGTCAGGCTCTCTCTGCGCCCGGACCCCAGGTCACCGTCCGTCCACCCGGGCCCCACGCAGTCTCCCCTCGCAGTCCGCACAGCTGCCTCCAGCAGCTCATTGGTGCCGTGGTCCAAAGATGCTGAGAGCTCCAGGTAGAGGCAGTCGAACATCATGGCACTGGACTGGGCCTCTGGTGGCAAAGAGGAGAATAAATACACGTCATTTTAGAAACAAAATAACCAAAGCTTCTGTCTGCAGCAGCTGCAGAGGGGAATTAAAAGCAGCAGCTGGGAATTCACATGGGTTTATGAAAGCACAGCAGCAGGAAGTCCCTGCCCATCTACTGCTGCTGTGTGAGGTCCACCACACTGTGAGAACTGGAACCAGTTAACAGGACTTTACCACAGCACAGGGACAGAACTCGGTTTCCTGCTCACCTGAAAATACCTGACAAAGAAATTTTTTTTATTTATTTTTTTTATGCTAACAGTTTTTCTGGTATGGAGAGGTGTGACTTTAGGCTTTAATCTAAACTAACACAATCAAACAATAAAAACTCAATAAGCTGAAAATAATCATTCAAAATCATAAAACAGACTCATTTGTACTTAACGTTTAGTAATTACCTGACTCGTTCATGTAAAGATTTTTCAGATTCAGAGATTCAAAGAGATTTATTTGTCATTCACACCTCATGTGGTACATGTGGTGGAACGAAATAATGTACACAGGGTCCCAGTTACATCCAACAATAAAATGTAAAATAAAAACAGTAATAAGATCTAAGATATGAGACTACCTGTATAAATAAAGGCTAAATGAAAAAAAAAAAAAGATATGAACTAAGAAAAACATCAACTACAACTACACTAAGCACTAATAGCATAAAAACATTGCGTTGAACAGCAGCACGAACATGAACATGAGTCTGTGTGAGCAGATGAGCACGAATCAACACAACATGAAACAGAAAACCGAATTAAACAAATTAAGCAAAAATATTATACTTGGTCATTTATTTATTCAAGATACAATATTACATACATGTATCTGTGAGTGGTAAAAGTATCAGGTCGACAGCGTTTTTTTTTTCTTTTTCATGTTGTTTTTAAAATATATTAACGTTCGAACAAAGTTACGTCTGGTCCTCTGGACAGATTCTTCCTGTTGAAACATTTCATCTTTTATTCAAAAGCCTTTGTAAGTCTGAGGAGCTGCAACAAACTCCTTGATAGAGGAACCAACGTTCTTCTATCAAGGATGTGAACATCTTCATCCCTGAAAGAGTGACCGCTGGTCTGGAGATGATGCTCTACATGTTGAGAATGGGTCACTCTTTCAGGGATGAAGTGTGCTAACGATCCATTGTTAGGCTGATGGTCCTTCTTGATCATATGTTTTAGAAAAAGTGGCAAACACCTGGGCACTCATTTCTCCACCAGCTCATGATCTGTCCATCCCATCTCAGTGTGTGGCTGTGTTTGACCACTTTGAGCCCATCTCTCTGTCCTCTCTGGAGCAGGTAATGTGCAGCATGAAGCCATCTGGTTTCCCCTTTGATGTGGTCCCCCCTCGACTACTAAAGGAAGTTTTTCCTACCCCCCTCGACTACTAAAGGAAGTTTTTCCTACCCTGGGTCCTTTTATCCTCGCTATTCTGAATAGCAGTTTATCCTCAGGTGTGGTGCCAAAAACTTTTAAACATGCTGCTGTCCAGCCCCTCCTGAAAAAACCTAACCTTGACCCCTCAGTCATGTCCAACTTCCGGCCTGTCTCCAGACTCCCATTCACCTCTAAACTACTGGAAAAAATTGTGGAGTCTCAGTTGAAACAGTTTTTGGGGGATCACGCTATCCTAGAGTTATTCCAATCTGGCTTCAAATCTCTCCATAGCACTGAAACTGCTCTACTGAAGGTTTTTAATGACATTTTCATATCCACAGACGCAGGTGATTCTGTGCTGCTTGTCCTATTGGACCTTACATCTGCTTTTGACACCATCAACCACAAGATCCTCATTTCTAGACTGATATTTTCATATCCACAGACGCAGGTGATTCTGTGCTGCTTGTCCTATTGGACCTTACATCTGCTTTTGACACCATCGACCACAAGATCCTCATTTCTAGACTGGAGCAGTGGGTGGGCATCACAGGGTCAGCCCTTAAATGGTTTGGGTCCTACCTCTCTGACAGAACCTTCTGTGTCAATATCAAAGATTTTAGTTCGGCATTGACAGTGCTCCAGTGGGGGGTACCGCAGGGGTCCATCCTCGGTCCCCTTCTCTTTTCTTTATACCTGCTGCCACTAGGTGCTATTTTCCGCAAACACAACATACCCTTTCATTTCTACGCCGATGATTGCCAAATTTACTTCCCCCTGAGGCACAGAGGCACACGCTCTATTCAGCCTCTTCTTGACTGCCTGGCTGACATCCGGTACTGGATGGCTTTAAACTTCTTAAGCTTCAATGAGAAGAAGTCTGAAGTCATGCTGTTCCATCCCAGTGACTCACTCATGAACCATGACATTGACCTTTTCTCTCTAGCCCCGCTAGAGAAACAAAAGGTCACTAATCTGGGGGTGATAATGGACCCGTCCTTAAAACTCAACAGTCACGTAAACATGATGGTCAAATCGTGTTTTTTTCAGCTGAGACGGCTGTCTAAGCTGAAGCCTATACTCTCCAAAAAGAACCTTGAGACAGTGATCCACGCCTTCATAACATCTAGGCTTGATTACTGCAATTCACTTCTGTTTGGAATCAGTCAGTCCTCCATTGCTCGTCTACAACTGGTCCAAAATGCTGCAGCCCGATTCTTAACTGGTACAGGCTATAGAGAGCACATCAAGCCAGTTTTGGCCTCCCTGCACTGGCTACCCATTCACCTTCAGATCCAATTCAAAATTCTCTTGTATGTTTTTAAATCACTGAACAGTTCCACCCCATCCTATCTCACTGATCTTCTGCAGCCATATGTCCCACCGCGTTCTCTGAGGTCAGCAGACCAGATGCTTCTCTCAGTCCCAGAAACCCGTCATAAGCTCAGAGGTGACAGGGCTTTCTCTGTTGCAGGTCCACGACTGTGGAATGAGTTGCCACCGAGTGTCCGGCAGGCTCCCACACTCTCAGTCTTTAAGTCTCGCTTGAAGACTCACTTCTATTCGCTTGCCTTTAACACGGTGTGATTTGTTTTGGTCCTGTCTGTACTCTACACTGTTGGCCATTTTAGTTAGCTTCTGCTGCTATTTGTATCTGTATTTTTATTTTGTGTTTTCCTGTCCGCTGTGCATGTTTGTTTTCTTTTGTACAGCACTTTGGTTGGCCTTGTTGCTGTTTTAAGTGCTCTATAAATAAATTGGTATGGTATGGTATGTGAGCAGCTGGTTTTGGTTGTCGGCAGCAAACTGGTTGATCCACTCTGAGAAGGTGCTGTTTATAAGACTGAGTTTGTTGCAGCTCCTCAGACTGAAGAAGTCTTTAGGAAAAAAGATGAACCATTTCAACAAAGAATAATCTGTCCAGAGCAGTGGTGAAATGTAACTAAGTACAAGTACTTCGTCATTGTACTCAAGTACATTTTTCATCTATCTGTACTTTACTTAAGTAGAGTTAAACATGGGGACTTTCGACTTTTACTCCACTACATTTTACATCAAGTATCTGTACTTTCTACTACACTACATTTCTATAATGCGTTGTGTTACACATTACATCCATTTTGTTTTTGTTTTTTTTAATTTGCTTGTTAGTTTGAAAGTAACCAATGGTGAGAGGGGAGTTGGTCCATTGAATCACTGCAAAGTGGACAGGTAACGTTAGACCTGCCTTCAACAAGAGCTGGACCAATGACATATATTCTAGTACTCGATCTTTGGGATGAACCAGTCTTTGCCGCAATGTATTTTGGGGTTTAAAAGCCACTGGGACGTTATGTTTAGAAAATAAACGTCTCAGTTTCTCTGATACTCCCTCAACATATGGAATGACCACTGGTCTGGGTCTGGGTTCCTCCTTTTCACCTGTTGGCTGACTGGAGTCCTGTTTGGGTTTCTTCTCTGCTTTTAGGAAGGCCCAGTTAGGATATCCACATTGCTCTAGAGCCTGTCTTGTGTGGGACTTCTCCTTCTGCCTGGCTCCTGAGTTAGTGGGGACGTTGTCTGCTCTGTGATACAGAGTCCTGATGACTCCTAACTTGTGCTCCAAAGGGTGATGGGAGTCAAACTGCAAATACTGGTCTGTGTGGGTGGGTTTGCGGTACATCCCAAAGATCCAGTCCCCCGGCACAAACAGAGTAATGTTGTGTATGCTGTTCAGTGTCAGGAGGGCTGTGATCAGTCTTACATCGGGGAAACAAAACAGCCATTGGCCAAAAGGATGGCCCAGCACAGAAGATCAACATCATCAGGCTAGGACTGCGGTCTACACTCATCTCCAGGCCAGCGGTCACTCTTTCAGGGATGAAGATGTTCACATCCTGGACAGAGAGGAACGATGGTTTGAGAGAGGAGTAAAGGAGGCCATCTTTGTGAAAAGAAACCGTCCATCATTAAACAGGGGTGGAGGCCTCCGGGTTCAACTGTCCCCCTCTTACAATGCTGTGATTGCTAGTATCACTCAGCCCTCTGTGAATAGTAAACAGCCATCAGTGTGCTAATGATCCATTGTTAGGCTGATGGTCCTTCTTGAGCATGTGATCAGCTGGTTTTTGTTGTCAGCAGCAAAACTGGTTGATCCACTCTGAGACGGTGCTATTTAAGAGACTGAGCTGAATACAGCACCTCAGACTGAGGAAGTCTCTCGGATGAGAGACGAAACGTTTCTACATTTTTTTGTTGTTTTGCTTTGTTTTTGTTTTTTTTTTTATGTCCAGAGGACCAGATTTAACTTTTTTGGATTCCTCTTTCTTATTTTGCTGAATGGCATTTAACTCTGCATATCATCCTTGAAATTCTGATGAATCACAAGTCCACATATGAACTGTGTCACAGAGTAAACACAATAAAAACATGTATTATCTGCAGCATTGTTCATTAAAATGACACAATACTATTAATGTATTACAGAAAATATACATACGGTAGGTACATTTAATGATACTATAGACCATTGCATTAAGTAATACATTCAGCAAGTACTTTTACTTTAAGTATTTTTAAAAGCAAGTACTTATTTACTTTTACTTAAGTA